CTGTGTGACAGCCTGTCGAAGGCTTTGATAAGATTAAAGTAGATAATTACCGCTGACTACTCCTTATGAAAATAAGTGATTAGATTAAGAAAGATCAAGTGGCACGTTTTGCAGGATCTTTCAGGCAAAAAACCATGCTGGTTAGGGTTGAGAACCTGATTAACTAGTGAGCAATCAAGAATTTTATGATTATTGCCCTTTTAAGCAATGTTGATAGAGACGGAGTTTTGTGCACGTCCCGACAGTTATTAACATTGAACCGAGATTCAGACTTGAAGACAAGAATGATAATTGACGTCTCCCATGTTTTCGGGAAAAACCGCCCGAAATGTTAAACCGAGAATAAATGACTAAGTAATTTGGGAAGGTTAGATGCCTGTTTAATAATCGAATTTGGAATCCCGTCCGTTCTCGAGCAGTGGGAGTTTTTCAGACGACTTATGTATTTCTTAGTTGGATCTCAAAAGACATCGATTGTACTAAATGTAGTGTCTGAAAGTGCGCGAAAGAAAAGGGCTGGGTCGGACAAAGTAGTGCGGTGCTTTGCAAAGAAAGCATTAAACAACTCTGCCTGGTCAGCGTCATCGATGAGGAAGATTTTGTTACCGCTTAGCAATGGTGGAATTTTGCGACCACGCATAGAGGCGGACCGATGACGGAATATTCTAGTAAGGAGTTGGGCAGATTTCGGATCGCTGAGATCAAGTGATTCTATTTGCCTGTAACGCGCTTGGCGCATCCTTAAGCTCATTTCAGAAATCTTTGTGATTCTCAGATGAACGAATAAATGCTTAGTGGCAGTCATGCAACTGCCCTCTCAACCTTTTAGTCTGTTGCGATGAAAATAAGGAACAAGGGAATTTGAAGAATTAGACCTGAGATGACTGTGCGGCACAGGCCCTAAAATTGTTTTGTAAACATTAGACATGATTTCAGAAAGAACTGCTGCATCATAACGGGAGAGAATGCCACGCCAAGCAATGACCCTACATAGTGATTCCTTAAGTCGTCGTCTACGCAATCGTCATTAAGGCAGGTCCGAACTGTGTTGGTCTTCTTTGGAAAGGCAAGCGATAGGCAACAATGAATTAGTATGTGGTCACTATCAAAGAGCTCCTTTTTGAGGGCAACAAAAAGAGGAGCAATGTCATTGGCAAAGATTAGATCTAAGATGTGGTTATCTCCGGCTGAAGAGTATACAAGCTGAGACCAATTTAAAAAATTGACAGCATCTTGGAAAGGTCGGAATCTAGGTGGGCTGATATTCGAAACCCAGTCTATTTCAGGACAGTTAAAATCCCCAGTGATTCTTTTAACATCGAAGCAGATTCGAAAAGTAAATATTTTACAAAGTTTGCATCAGTACTGGATGAAAATTTTGGAGGATTGTAGATACCGTCAATAATTGCCTTTCTATGCAACCAAAGAATAATGGATGCAAAGCAGAAGTTCCCCGTGAATGAGAAGGCACCCAGGTAATAGGGCGAATGCTTTAGGTGGGATCTAAGATAAAGGAGGTAACGGTCCCCTCGCCTAGTTGTGCGATGTTGGTGGTAGAAATCGAAATCATCTATAAAAATGAAAACGTTAGGAATTAGAAAATGGGCCCAGAGTTCTGTTATAGATATACTAAATGACGTCACGTTGATAGCAGTGACCCTGATTCGAGTCATGTTGTTTATAACAGGCGTGGCATTTATTAATATAATATTCATTTTGCTTTATCGGTTTGGCTATTGTCAACGGTATTCGGAAAAATAATTGAAAGACGATATGCAAGCTGTAAATTATTACTTGGGGAATAAGGAATAGTGAGTTCAAAATTATTGATATATGGGGGGTCAGCAAGAGAAGGCGGGGGAAAGCCTGAACGATGTGGGAATATAGTATTCTGACGCTGGGATTACAAGCGATTTATAACAGGGATAGGCTAGCTGGTAATTAACTTGAGGAGGAGGAGAAGGAGGAGGGGGGAGCGTAAAAGGAAGGTAGAGGCTGGTGGAGGAGGGTAGGCAGCTATGAGGATAAAAGGGTGGGAAACTAGGTTGATGCTGGAGGCCAGAGGAGCTGGGTTGACTCATGTGAGAGCAGTTGGCTTTGAGTGATGAGAAACCTGGACTAGGTTGGGGGGTGAATGACTCATGGCACTTCACATATGAATTATTTACAGGATATATGGTGGGGCTTCAGTAAGTAACCGGTACGCAGGACAGAGAATTATTTGGGTGTATAATTGGAGCTGCGGTGTTTGTGGACGAAGTGCGCCATAAAGGCTTGTTAGATTTAAGAGATTTTAGTTTATCCGGCATACCAGTGAATGCTACTTAATATCACTGACGGCTACCTTTGTTTTGGATCAGATTCGTATTCACTTGCACCCATTGGAGCGAATATCTTCCTTTCGTCATACTCAGTATCCATATCGACCTCAAACCGAATCTGCAGTGTACTACCGCCGAGCTTGTTCATGGCACTACCTTAAGGGTTCACGGCAATTATTTCGGGACGCATTGAAACATAGCCGTTTTGAATGCTATTGGTTATGCTCAAAGGTTGCAGTTAGCAATGGCTAACCCCCGGGCCACATATCTACCCTCTCTGGAATATAAGTCATATGCTGATTCTAATTTGACAGCATGTTCTTTTGTATTTGTCCGTGTATAAAGTGCTACTGGGCCATCACAATGGCCCTACGATGGACTATTTTGTGTCCTTTCATACAATGACAGATCTTAAGTTCATACCCCTTCCCGAGATGCCTTACTGCCTAGAACACCATGTCGGTCTCATCGTCTCACTGTCCCGAAATTCATTTCTAGCAAGAGAGATGTTAGAGAGTTCAAAAGCATTCGTATACCTTTCCTCGAATAAAACTGAACAGAAGCACGGTAGCCAGAAAAAAAGTGCGGTTTTAAAAAGGCTTCTGACAAATTGCCCCGCAAAAAACTCATAATAAAGCTAATATTTCACGGTATTCGGAACCCTTATGTGCTTATCCTCATCCTACCTCCAAGGCCGATCTTTAGTAGTGCAGATGCGAAATGCGGTTTTAGAACTATCTCCTATATTTACTTGAGTATTTCAAAGCATCATGTCAGGTTCCGTTTCTTTCTCATATACCTTCACAAGTTGCCTTTCACACTAACCTCGGCTTAAGCTTTTTGATGCAGACGAACCAAAACTCTCATATGCATATAACGAGCATACAGCACTCATTATGTGTAGAGCAAGTGAGGCTGGTCTTATAGTGTAATGAATGAAGTAGTCAATGGCAAGTGCCATTCTCACCGACAAAATGCCATCTCCTGTTTTTTAGTCGATAAAGACTTCCCTCCGTCATTTTCGATGATCACGAAGTAAAAGAAGTATCATTTACAAAAGTGTTATTTCTGAGCTATACAAGTACACCTAATTTACCCCCGCCCTCCACGTTAAAAATTCTCCTAAAGTCGTTTGTTTGTTTGGACTCATGTGTAAATATTTCTCCTTAAATGCATGAAGAATGTAACGTTACAAAGTGTGCGTGTAATCTCTCCTTGACTATTGTTTACATTTCTTTGGCTTAATACCATCCGACGATCGAAAGAAACTAGAAGGCACCCAGAGAAGCTTTGCTGGATCTTTAGCCAAATGAAACAGCCTTCATGATACATACTCAGCAACAACTAGCCATTCTATCCCATGACGCAAGGTTCAGCAGAAAAGATGCTTGACCAGAGTCTCAATCTCTCGGAGCGCTGTGCCTTGACAGTCTCCAAAGCACGCAGAACGACCGGGTTTATCCTCCGGAACTTCAAAACTAGGGACATCGGAATGCGCCTTTACAACCTGCACGTTAGACCTGGTCTGGAATACTGTTCGTTTTTATTTAGCCTCATGCGTGCTACTAAGCGGAAGAAAATAGAATCCGTTCAACACTTTTTTGCCAAGAGAATTTTAGCCGCGGAACACCGACATTTGTCTTACCAAGAACGTTGCCGGCTTACGGGCCTTGATCCTTTATGGTTCCGCAGATTACAAAAGGGACTATTTTTGCTATTTGAACTCTTATATAATTTCACATTTAACCCACTCACCTCTTTAAGACATCATATCCACCCACGACGTAACAGTCACCGTGAGGTCTTCTTATTTCTGCCTCTGGCACGTACTGTCAAATATCGTCGGTTCTATTCTGTAAATGTAATTGCTATTTGGAATAAACTACCAATGAGTGTGAAGACTCTGCAAAATTATCCTTTATTTAAGAGAACTATTACTCGATTTTTGCATTCAGAAAAGCTTCCTCAAATTTTGGGTTCTGAATCCACTGATCGACTCTACAGTAACGATGGCGTTTGTGGTCTCTGAACACTATGGCCGGTCTCACCAGCTGTTCCTCAACGGCTCTACTTTGACTATCCCCAACTTTATGAAAGGAATTGACGTCTGATAATCTCCGATACCGTGCGACCCCCCCCCTTCTCGACGGTCAAAAATCTACCACCAGCAGTTTTTCTCCTAAACCCTCCAAACCATGAAAACCACCATCAAGTATATTTTTATTTCTTTACCTCAGGAGTTTTTTTCACTGCTGGTTGGATTTGTGTTTCATCGCTTCCCTTGACAATTCCTGTAAACTGGCATTTAATAAATTAAATTAAATTAAATTAAATTAAAAGACTTTATTGCATCCTTCGAATCGGCGCTCCAAAAGTGTGATGCAGGCGAGGAGCGCAAATACGCCATGCGACAACAAGTGTCGACTTTACTCCTCCAACATAAACGCCAGACGACGATTTCTAAGGCAGAAGATCGAGAACTTCTGAAAATACGAAAACTAGAGGATATCGTCACCCTACCCGCCGACAAGGGGCGCTCTACTGTCGTCATGGATAAAGCTGAGTACTGCAAAAAAACTAGGCAACCTCTTGATGTACAAGGAAGCTTATGCGCCATCGACTGTCAGCAAGTTCAAAAAGCTCGTAAACAGCATAAACAAGATGATCGACAAGCTGAGAATGGCGGGCGCTCTTACTAGAAGGGAAGCGCTGGCCGCAAAAGTCAGTGATGCTGCAATGGCGCGCTTCTACGGCCTATCAAATATCTACAAGCCGGGAGTGCCGCTACGCCCCATCCTCTCCTTACGTGGTATCCCAACCTTTGGGCTGTCAAAGTGGCTGTACCAGTAACTTTGTTTCCTTACCAAGGATTCAGAGTGGACGGTGAAGTCGGCTAAAGAGTTTGTGTCGCGCATCAAATGTCTCGAAGTGGAGGCAGATGAGGTGATGGTGTCTTTTGACGTGATCTCATTGTTCACCTCCATCCCATCCACGTTGGCTATCGACACTATTGACGGTTTTCTCCGGGAAAAGTATGATGAGACCGATCAACAGCTCAAACGAGTTCACATAATCGAGCTCCTAGAACTATGTCTTAAGGCATTCTTTACATTCAACAGCCAGGTTTACGAGCAAAAGAAAGGGACACCGATGGGCTCGCCTCTATCTGAATTAATTGCCGAAGCGGTTTTGCAGAGGTTTGAGCGGCTGGTCTTCAGCTCGTACCCCCCAAAATTCTGGGCCAGATACGCCGACGACACTTTCGTTATCATCAAAAGGAGCGATGTGCAGACTTTCAAGGCACTATTGAGTTCAGTCTTTCCTGACATTCAGTTTACTATGGAAGAAGAGCTCAACAATCAGTTGGCCTTCCTTGACGTAAAAATGAGAATGCTGGAGGACAGGAAGATAAAAACAACGGTCTACCGCAAGGCAACTAACACCAGGCGAATCCTCCACTTCAAGAGCAACCACCCCGTTGGTCACAAACGCAGTTGTGTCAGAATCCTCTTCCAACGCGTTCAAACACACTGCAGCGACGAAAGTGGGATGAAGGAGGAGATTAAGTACTTGCACGCCCTATTTAAAGCCAACGGTTATCCCAAGTCCTTCATACGCAAGTGTCTTCAGAAGCCCCACTCTGAGCGGTCGGACGGAGAAAACCCGAAATTTTGGCTCGCAATCCCGTATGTGAAAAACGTGTCAGAGGCGACGGCAAGAATCCTGAAGCCTTTCGGGATCGGAGTGACTCACAAGCCAGAGTCAACAATCACACAGCAAATAATGAGGCCCAAAGACCCGCTACCGGTGACAGAACAATCAGCGGGTATCTACAGCATACCATGCCAAAACTGTGATGCAAAGTATGCTGGTGAAAGGGGCTAACGTCTTGGCACAAGATTGCATGAGCATCAGCTTGCAAGCAACCGCAAGGACAAGCTGTCTATGGTTTGTGGCCACGTTAGACAGCAAAACCACAATTTCGCCTTTGAAAAGGCAAGGGTAATCGGCCGAGCCAACGATAAGATGGCCAGACTGATGCTCGAAAGTTGGTCCTCGACTGTCACATTCAACAGCGCCATAGACCTGCATCCTGCCTACCAGGCGCAACGCACAAGGCTCCAGTCAGTGCGGACAAGGCCATCAGGATAGTCGAGCAAAGTGACGCGTGGCCGACAGCCGATGTCAGCAGAAAGTGGGAGAGTAGCCGGCCGGGGTCATGTGACTAGCATGGGATGCCACCTCACCGCAACGCCCACGAAGCTAAGATCAACTCACATGAGCCCTAGCAAGTGATCAGTTCGTTGAGTGACGAGGGGGAGGCCGACAAGTATGCTGACTCGCCAACAATTACGACGGCCGGAAAGGGATCATTAGTGGCGGGAGCCCACCGGCGGTCAATCGTGGAGAGGTCAACGCTAATCGGCGGCGAACGGGCAGGTCAATGCTCGTGCCTCGCGCACGGATATAATACCAGGCAGATATCATGGCTGACGCAATCAAGACCAGCAGGAACTGTCAACACATTACTCTGATGATGGAAACGAGAGGGTTTCCGAAACGTCAGTACAAATATAACTCGGTCCATGAATGCGCCCTATCTTCTTCTTCTTCTTCTTCTTCTTCTTCTTCTTCTTCTTCTTCTTCTTCTTCTTCTTCTTCTTCTTCTTCTTCGTCTTCTTCGGGGGATGATGAACGCGATACAATATCTGGACCTCGAATCTTTACCCATACATAGAATTGTGCAATAAATACTGCCTCAGACTGTTCTTAATAAGATGCCTTTGCTTCAGACTCTGGTGTTCGTCCATTGTCCAGATATTGTTTTAGTAACTGAGATGTGGGCATCAACCTCAGGAGCTGACTCCGAACTCTCTCGTCTAGGCTATAATTGCATTCGAAATGATCGCCAAGATAGCCGTGGTGGGGGCAGCTGCGTCTACGTGAAGCAAACACTTACATTTTGCCATTGGACCTCCCGCATTTTTTCGCAGTAGAAGGCAGTTGCTAGCTCCAGGTTGCTCTAAAAAATAAGTTCTCCTTACTCGTTGGCTGTGTCTATCGCCCTCCCAACGCCAACGACAATTTCGATCGTTTACCCTCACAGGCATTTCATGCTGCGGCCGACTCAAGCTTTAAGTATCAATTGGTTGCGGGTGATTTTAATCTCCCCGAAGTCCGCTGGTCTCCGCTCTCAGGCCCCAGAAGGTTTAAAGGCTTTCTTGAGACTGTGGATGTCGGGATGTGGACTCAGGTTGTCGACTTTCCCACCCAATGCTCAAGCCTACTTGACCTGATTTTCCGTAGAGGCTGGATACCTTCGTCTTTATCATCTCTAGGCACACTCGGGAGCTCAGTCCATGACATAGTTGTTTCAACGTTGGAATTGGAGGCTGACAAAACCTCTTCCCCAAAGTATAACTTTTTCCGCGATTTCCGATCAACTCGCTCAACCGAATAACTAACACACCTTAATTCCTACGACTGAACTGAGTTCTTCCTTATTTCGCATGTAAATGTTTGCACTGCAAATCTGTACAAGAATTTGGATCTGCTTATTTCTCGTTTTGTCCTCCCTAAGAAAATTATTAATGTTGGGGATGAGGTTTTCCCACCCTTACCATTTCGTCGCAGATTGCGCAGACTTTATCGTCGATTCCATCTTCAGAACGATGTTTCTGTTCTGCCCTTGGTTTGCGATATTTTTGATCGAGCTAAGAGATTGTCTGAAGAAAAACAGCTAGCCGAAGACGTCCAGTTTACCCAAAACTATTAGTTAAATGTCTCGAAACTTTCCTCTAGAAGAATACGAACTCACCGAAAGACGCAGCATCCCATCCTTCGAGACGCTCTCGGAAATCCCATAGTCGATGCCCAATTAACCGCTGATAGCTTTAATGGTTTCCTGTACAAAACGTTCATTGAAGACTCGACCACTCCGCTTCCGACCATCCAGTCATTGCCGGGGCAGTTCTAGAAACTATAACTTTCACTCTGTGAGATGTGACTGTTGCGATTCGGCGTTTTCGTCAATCTTATAGTCCAGGCCCTGATGGTGTCCCAGTACGCATTTTAAAAGCCGATGCAAATACGATTTTCCCATCCCTCTTATGCAAGATATTTAATCTTGCCCTTGAAAGTGAAACTTATCCTACCTTGTGGAAGGAATCACAGATTTTGCCCATTCCTAAGCACGGCTAATCTACATCATTTGATGATTTTCGGCCAGTAAACACCCTCCCCGCAGTTTCGAAGATCTTAGAGACATTAATCCAAGATAAGATGATGCGTCACTTAACAGTGAATAACCTACTGATTGCTGCTCAGCATGGACTCCTCAAAGCTCGGACTTCTGACACCTGTCAACTCTCTTTCTTTGACTATGTTCTCCAATCTTGGGACAATGGTTTTACACAGTATATTTCGATTTCACTAAGGCTTTTGATCGTGTTGACCATGCTCTTCTTCTCTTGAAACTGTCCTCTTTCGGAATAGGCGGCAAACTTTTGAATTTTATATGTTCTTAGCTGGGCACTCGTACACAAACAGTTAAGATTTCCAATACTATCTCCAAGCCCACACGTGTGAGGAGTGGCGTCATTCAGCGTAGAGTACTCGGCTCGCTTTTATTTTTCCTTTTTGTTAATGATGTACCCGATTTATTTCAGGATATTAAGTCGTTTATGTGTGCCGATGATCTTAAAGTTGCATATCGATATAAGGCGGCAGATCATGACATCGTGCTCGAGCTCCTTAAGAGCAATCTACAGGCTCTCACCCAGTGGTGCCGCACATGGCACCCTTCTCTCTCTTGGCATAAGTGCTCAGTCATGGTGGTTGGCGACGACCGTCAACTTCAACTAAGTATTGAAGGTCACGCAATAAATGTGCCTGGGGTTATTAAGGATCTGGGCGTATCACACTCCAAGAGTCTCAATCTCTCGGAGCACTGTGCCTTG